GAAGTCGCGAACAAAGATGCCATACAATGAAATGCACGGCAGAAACTCTGGACTCGATCTGCCCGCGGCACTTTTCAAGCCCGATCGACCTGCGAGGGTACAGTGACCAAATCCTGGGCCAAAACGGCCTGTGGTATGGCGAATTACTTTTGCTTAGCGTGTCGCGGCGGCAGCCGCAGCGACGCGCTATGCCTTGCAAGCGGATAGCGTGTCGGGGGGCATTGAACAGGCTCAGGACGTTGACGATCTGGAGGTTGGGAAGTGGTCCGCGCGTCGCGCCGACTCGTGGTGTGCCTGAACCGGCAGCGCGACACGCTGACCATGTGCTCCTGGCCGTAAACAGCTGCGACGCCCCGAAAACTTAGGGGGAGGAGCGTGGAGGAGGGGGAGCAGGAGGAGGAGGAGGAGGAGGAGGAGGAGGAGGAGGAGGAGGCGGCGGAGGAGGAGGAAGAGAAGGAGGAGGAGGGAGAGGAGCGTGCGACGCCCCGGGGATTCAGGAAGGAAGGAGGAGGAGGAGGAGGAGGAGGAGGAGGAGCAGGAGGAGGAGGAGGAGAGGAGGAGGAGCAGCAGGAGGAGTGGGAGGAGGAGGAGGAGGAGGAGGAGGAGGAGGAGGAGGAGGAGGAGGAGAGGAGGAGGAGGAGGAGGAGGAGGAGGAGGAGGAGGAGGAGGGGAGGAGGGAGGAGGAGGAGGAGGAGGAGGAGGAGGAGGAGGAGGAGGAGGAGGAGGAGGAGAGAGGAGGAGGAGGAGGAGGAGGAGGGAGGAGGAGGAGGAGGAGGAGGAGGAGGAGGAGGAGGAGGAGGAGGAGGAGGAGGAGGAGGAGGAGGAGGAGGAGGAGGAGGGGAGGAGGAGGAGGAGGAGGAGGAGAGACTGGGGGGGGGATGGGAGAGGGGGCGGCACGCGCCGGCTGTGCTGGTCGCGAGCTCCCTGGCTCCCACGCAGAGGAGGCGCGGAGGGGGACCCCGCAGGTCCTGCGCAGCCACACCACGGGGATGCGCTCCCCGTGGGCTGTCCTGGGTTCGGCGGACATGTCTTGGGTTGCCCGCCCCTTCCTCCTCTTCCTCGCCCACCCCTCCGCTCCTCCTTCTCTTTCACCCCCTCTGCTTCCTCCTTCGCCTCTGGCTCCGTCCCCGGCATGTCTCCTTCTTGCGAAGTGAGCTCCTCCCAGCCGCCGTCCCGAGGCGGGTCGGCAGGGCGGGCCGGCCGCTTCGCCCGAGAATTCCTCACGATCTACGATCCCGAAGCTTGAACTTTGCAAGAGTTTCACGGATGGATGTTGGGCGGATTTCAAATTGCGGTAGAGGGAAACGATTAGTGACCCCCCCCCCTGCCCCCCAAATTCAAGGTTGGCACGCGCGGGGGAGACTGCGGTCGAGGTGCAACTCATCAGACCCACCACCAACTTTGAAAATTGGGGGGATGGGGGAGGCGTTCACAAATGAATGTGGCATGAGTGTTCGCTATTTTTTCCGAGGCCTGTGTGGCTCTCGCCTCGGCGCCGAGCACAGCCGTCTTCATCTTCCACCAGCCCTCCAGGCGTAAGTGGTTCAACGAGTTTCGTCGTCTCTCTCTGGCAGAATTCCTCCTTCCCCTGCTCGGGGGAGGGGTTCCAAGACGGCTTGCGGGCGGGCGGGTGGCTTGACCCCTCCCCCTACCACGTCCCCAGGCCTGGGAGGAGGGGGGACGGAGCGGTCAGAGCGCGCAGAATGGCTCCAAGAGGGCCTCAGAGACTTCAAGATAACCTCCAAGATGGCTGAAGATGGCTCGATATGGCCTCCGACATACTTCTAAAAGGCCCCAAGACAGCTCCAAGACGGTTCCAAGGGTCCTCCGGAGCCCTCCAAGGACCCCCCGAGAGGTCAACATCCTTCAAACACCTGATGACCATACATGTTTTTTGTCTTCTCGCTTCTTTGCGTCCGATGGGCTTTACAGGCATTGATGGCCCCAAGGCGGCCCAAGAGAGCCCCAAGAGGGACCCAATGAGGCCCCAAGACGGTTCCAAGAGCGCCTAAGAGTGCCCTGAGAGGGCCCCAGGAGGCCTAAAACGCCCTTTTGAGCCTCCGAGGGGGGACCTGATTTGAGGCCCCCCTCCAAAGAGCCCCTAGAGTGCCCAAACAGGTCAAAACCGTTGAAGCACCTGCGGCAAATCAATGTGTTGCGTTCTCAGCGTTTCGCTTCAGATGGCCTTCCGAGGCCTCGAGATGGCTCGGATTGCAGAGCATTGCAGGGTCTTTGCAGGGTCATTGCAGGGTCTTTGTAAGGTCTTTGCAGGGCCGTTGCAAGGGTCATTGCAGGGTCTGCGCAGGGTCTTCGCAAGGTCTTTGCAATGCGTTTTCAACAGGCTTCCAAGAGGCTCGCGGAGCGAAAGCTCCGCGACGGCTTCATGATTGACTCGTCTTTGTCGTCGTCGGCTTTCACGTCGCCTCCTTCTTCCTCCCCCATCAATCTGCTGGTTCATCTTCTTCTGACTACCTACCAGACTACCCCGACCCAACCCGAAGACCCGAATTTGACTCGAACTTCGGGTTGGGGGGGGGGTACGGGGTCCATGTGTTTTCTGAGTGTTCCCCGACCCCCCCACTGGGAAATGGAGGGCAAATTGAGGCCTTCGGGTTGGGCTGGGGTGGTTTGGTGGGTGGTGATCTTCTTCATTGCTTCCTCCTCCCGTTCTCCTTGCCTCCTCCCTCCCCTCGTTGCCAAGAGGCAGCCTCCACGCCCCGAGAGGGGGTTCGAGACAACTCCAGGAAGGACTCCAGAGGACCCCAGTGAAGCCGCCGCGCCATGGGAACATTCGTCACACATCTAGTGAGGGTTCTTTTTATTCGGCGTTTGGACATTGGGCGGAGGGGGGGGGGGCGGTCTGGCTCCGGACCTCTGCTTAGTGCGACTGTCTGCAGGAGTGCTGCCTCTGGGGGAGGCTCCGCCCGTTCGAAACGGGCGCCAAAAAACAGCCAAGAGCTGCTCCATGAATGGGGGGGGGAGGGAGGGGGGGTTCTGGGGGGCTCCGCGCCGCGCGGCAAAGCGACGAATCGAAAAAACGCTCACGCATCGTTCAACACTCGGGGATGGACAGACCCCCCTTTAGTAAAACGTGGTTTAGTGAAAACGACCTGAGGCCCAAACCTGGCGGGCGCAAGCCTGGAAAATAACGGCCACGGCGCCCTCTCGAGAACCGAAAACGGACAATGCACTAATCGACGTGTCACTGGTGGGGGTTCTGTCCACGCCCGAAACACGTGCTCCCGCCGTGTCAGCGCCCCCGAGGCGCTTTCACGGTGCTTGTTCCGCAGCGTGCCTCTGCCTAACGGCGCACGACGGACCGGCGGACGAACGGACGGACGGACGGCGGACGACTGGAAGACCGACGACCGACGACCGAATTTTGCTGAAAACGGTTCCGCAGGCCCTCTCGGTGTCAATTCGGCCGAGTTTTCCGAGGCGGGTCCAGCCGTGGCAGCGACCATCTCCAGGAACACCCGAGGAGCGCCTCGACGGCCGACGACGACACGGGCGACGGGCGACGAGGACGACGACCGATGCTCGGCCAGAGAGCAGCAGCTCGCTGGGCAGCCCGCCCGGCGAGCTGCTGGAGGGAGAGGAGGAGTAGGAGGAGGAGGAGGAGGAGGAGGAGGAGGAGGAAGAGGAGGAGGAGGAGGAGGAGGAGGAGGAGGAGGAGGAGAAGAGGAGGAGGAGGAGGAGGAGGAGGAGGAGGAGGAGAGAGGAGGAGGAGGAGGAGGAGGAGGAGGAGGAGGAGGAGGAGGAGGAGGAGGAGGATGGCCCGGCGGGGCCGCGCGGGGCGCCGCGGATCTGCGCGAGCGCGTCGCGGACGCACGGCGGGCGGCGCTCTGCACGGGTGGCCCTCGCCCGAGCGCCGCGCACCTTCGCCCTCGGAGCTCCTTCTCCTCCTCCTCCTCCTCCTCCTCCTCCTCCTTCTCCATCTCCTTCCTCGTCCTCGTCCTCCGCCACGTCGCCCATCCGGGCGGGCGGGCTGCCCTTCCATCCATGCCTGGAGGGCGTAATCTAGACGGGCTGGAGACAAGGGAGGGGAGGGCCCGATCAAGAGGTGAGGGGAGCGTGGAGAGGAGAGGGAGGGGAGAACCCGCACATTAAATCAATAACATGATCGGGGCCGTGCGACGGGGATGTGAGCCGGGACAAGTGCACCGTAATGTGTGCATACGACACAAGGAACAGTGGCCGTGTGACAGGGCTGAGAGCACGACAGTGCTCACCGCAGTGATTGCGTCGAGGGATCTCGGCAGTGTGACAAGGGTGAAAACACGACCATATGAACCGTAACGCTTGTATGTTGTATAAGGGACCGCACGGCCACGCACTGACCCGGCCCCGGCCCACGGCACGGGAGCACCACGGCTCTGGTGATATACCCGGGACCACTGACCGGGAACCGCACGACCACCGCACTACGCTGGGTAGAGCCCACTGAGCGGGACCGCACGGCCACGCACAATACAAGGGGCCACCACATCGACTCGACCCGGCCCCCGCTACACGACACGATCCCACTACTCGACCTGAGTACCTGAATAGAGGGGGGTACGGGGGGTGGGGCAGGGAGGGGGAGGGAGATGAGAGACACACATGAGATTCCTGGGATCGGAGCAGGTCTGCCCGCACACGTCCGCACACCACACGAGACAGCACAATATCGAGGTACGTCTCACGCGCAGGCCGGCACCTAATTCCCGACGTCTCCTTAGAATTTTACACGGAACGACAAATAGAAGAGCTCTCTCCAGGAAGTCTCAACCAATGCTGAATTAACCGCAACGATGGAGGGGGGAAGGGCGAGGGAGAGGGAAAGACGAAACAAAGCTCTCCTGCAAAGTGTAGTAAAACGATCCCATCGCGTGGTTGCGCCGCCGGGGGTGCCATGACGTCCCCTTATACCGGTGCGGCAGAAGGGCCCGCTCGCGGGCCCTGGGGGCGGCTCAGGCCCGGGGGGCAGCCGGCGCCATAGGGCCGGCCCCACCCACCACCTCCGCCACGTAGGGCGCGGGCACCGCCGGTGGCGGCCTCGAGGGCCCCGCCGAAGCGGCCGCCCCAGAAAGAGCAGCCGCTCCCTGTGCAGCTGGCCCCGCTTTGGCCTGCGGGGCCGGCGCCGGTGGCTCCGCTTTGGCCTGCGGTGCCGGGGGCGGCGCAGGCGGCGCGCCGTTCCCGTCAGCGCCGCCGTCCCTGCCGCCCTTGCGGCCGCCCTTGCCTCCCTTGCGGCCGCCCTTGCCGCCGCCCTTGCCGCCGCTCTTGTCCCCCTTGCTGCCCGAGCTCTTGCCGCCCCCCTTGCCGCCCTTGACGCGGCCCTTGTTGCCCTTGCCGCGGCCCTTGGCCTGCCTCCGGGCCTCCGCCGCCTCCTTCTCCTCGGGAGTCTTCTCGACCCAGAGCAGCACCTTCGCCGGCGGGTCCTGGCCCGCTGGCAGAGGAGGTGGCTGCGCCCCGCGCACCGCAAGGCCAGACGCCCTCCGAAGAGGAGCGTCGAAGCGCTGCACGCTCCTCTCGACCGCCAAGGAGTCGATCGAGAAGCGCAGCACAAGGTAGAAGGTGCCCGGAACGGGCACCTTGCTCCCCTGCTCGGTGCGCACCTGCTGGTACACCCCGCGGAGCGTCCCGGGCTCGCTGAGGCCTTCCAAGAGCTTCCGAAGGGAAGACACGTTCGCCGTGTCTCCCTGGAGGGGCCACCCTTCCTCGAGCTTGGCCGCAAGGTCCCTGACCAGAGTCTCCGGAGCCGCCTCACGCAGCTCACGGAACTTGTTCGCAGGCACATGCTGCTCGTACAGCGCCTGGAGACCGTGGCACCCTTCGCACACCAGGTGGCAGCTCTTGGTGACCTCGTTCACCTTCCTCTTGAGGCCGCGCACAACCCTTTCAAGATAGTCCTGGCGCTCCTCCAGCGCTCCGAACCGGGCCTCCTGCTCGGCGCGGCGCTTTGCCAACGACATTACCACGCCGGTAAGCGGGTCAGGCGGGCGCGCGGGCGGGGGCGCGGGGCGAGTCGCGAGCTGAATCGGCGCGCGCGCGGCGTGGAGGTGGAGGGAGGGAGGTGTAAAGACACATGAAGCATGCCAACAAGAGAGACAATAGCACACGACAAAGGAAACAAAGTACATGTCCTCCCGTCCCACCCCCGCCCCGTCTCACGTCGACTGCTCGCAACATCACTGCCGCACCCATCATGCAGTGAGGACGTCTCAAATATGACAATGGTGCGATGATATGAAGGCAAGAAAAAAACAACAACAACAAAGGGGGGAATGAGGTGATGTAAAGAACTGCCGGGTATCCAGTATTCTTTTAATTATCACCAAGGTCCCCCTCTGGGCGACTGGGGGGACGGGGAGGAGGCTTAAGGGGGTGCCGAGGACTAGAAAGTCAACGGCGGCGCTAGCAACGACTGGAAAGTCGTGCTTGAAGGGCCTCCTCCCCGGCACGGCGTAGAAACACCGTGCAATTCGCTGAGGACTTGGACACGAAGGTCCCCTGTCCTTTGGCCCAGTAGAAAACTGCACAAACCCCTCCCCCGGCAGCTCTTGTAGAACAACGCACCTTGGGTATGTGTGGCTTAGGCTCGCATCTTTGCTTTTGCCTTCGCAGAGAGACCTCTGAGCTGTGCCTTTGCCTTTGCCTTTGCCTTGGCTTTTGCTTTGGCCTTGACGTGGGGCTTTGCCCTCGCCTTAGCCTTGGCCTTTGCCTTAGCGAGGCCTTTTGCTGCAGGTTCGATTACCCCGGGTCCTACTGGCGGCACTGCCGCCGGCCCAGCCCCGGCAGCATCTGCCGGATCTGGCCCTTGTGCTCCTACGGGAACACCCTTGCACCATTTGTCATGATTGCCTAAGGGGCGGCACAGCTGCCCCTCCGGTGGCGGTGGAAAAATCTTACCGCATTTCCGACAGGTTCTGTTGGCCATATCCGAACCACGACATTTGAGCTCATGCTGCCTGCGGTTGTTCTCAGGCACAATTGCACCGCACTTGCGGCAGTTAGCTTTTCCTGGTGGCACCGCTCGTTCGGTGCTCGTGCACCGCCGGAAATGCCATTTGAGCTCCTTTGTAAGGACCCTCATGCCGCATTTTTTGCACACGTCCGTCTCCGTGTAATCAAGGTCCTGAAGGGCCGGCGCGGGTGCTGTCCACCTTTTGGATTGCTCCGAAGCATAACCGCGGCGGCCAATTTCGGCACACCGATCTGCTATCTCATTGTCGTGCTCTCCGGTATGACCGTACACATGTTCCCACGTAATACTACGACGCTCAGCCACTCGAGCGGTAAGTTCATGTACTGCCACGGCAAGCTCCTCATTCGCCTTGGGTTCCCAAATCCCACGGGCCATATTAACTGCATACTCCGAGTCGTAGCGTATATGGACCGGTACCTCCCCGTAGTCGGGGGCCTCCTCCAATAACCAATGCATAACTTCACCGATTGCACTTAGTTCCCCGGTGTTGTTGGTCTCCTCACGGGCCCCCAACCATCGATGGTCCCACGCTTGAACGACCACGGGCCCCCCAGAGGTCTAAAAGGACTATTTTCCAGTCCCGTCATCTTCCTAAAAAATATTACCCGTTCCTATATTATAGTCCCGAACCATGCGCCATCAAATATGCATCAGAAAACCATAGCCGTAATCGTTTCAGGTAACTTCACCCATCAAATACTTAACGTGCATCAAAAATAATTAACAAATCCACATCATACAATACGTTTCATCGGGGCGAGCGCTTGTATGAAAAAACATAGCAATAGTGACCCAATAGTTTAAAACAAGGAGGAGAACGAGAGGGAGGAAGAGTCGCCCGACCAGAGTAAACGTAGCACCAACGACAATACATGTCTACATCTATATTTACACACAAACATATTTATACCATACATATAGGTATATATATATATATATATATATATATATATATATATATATATACAGTCCCGTCCCGTGCCCGTTTGAAGTACCAAACCACTCGGGCGAGAACACCATTTTGGAAAGGAACTGGCCATGCTCGACCTCGGGTTGCGGCCGCCGCGTTTCTGCCTCTCCTCCAGCTCTTTTGCTGCAGCCTCGCGGCCCGAGCTGTTTCGAGGATGGCTTCAGAGGCCAAGCGCCCCAAGCAGGGCGCCGTCCGCCAGGCTAGCTCGGCGGACGCAGATGAGCTGGCAGAGATGTGGGCGAAGTTTATCACCAAGCCAGACGGGCGCCAGCAGGGGGGAGAACTGCAGGAGGAGGACGAGGAGGAGGAGGAGGAGAGGAGGAGGAGGAGAGGGAGAAAGGAGGAGGGGGAGGAGGAGGAGGAGGAGGAGGAGGAGGAGGAGGAGGAGGAGGAGGAGTGGGAGAAGGAGGAGGATATAATCGTAGTGCTGAGGAGGATGAGGAGCAGGACGAGGAGGAGGAGGAGGAGGAGGATTCCACAGGAGCAGGGCATCATGAGAACGAGGGTTTGGACTGGGTATGGGGGACGATAAGGACATTTGGGATTGATGGGGCCCGTTGTGATGTAAACGGATCCGTCGATCTGGGGATCTATGTCCCTCCTCCTCCTCCTCCTCCTCCTCCTCCTCCTCCTCCCTCGTTCTCACATATGCTATCCCGTTCCCGTGGAATCCTCCTCCTCCTCCTCCTCCTCCGCACCGCGACTCTATCCTCCCCCTCTCCTCCTCTCCTCCTCCTCCTCCTCCTCCTCCTCCTCCTCCTCCTCCTCCTCCTCCTCTTTCTCCTCCTCCTCCTTCTCCTCCTCCTCCTCCTCCTCCTCCTCCTCCTCCTCCTCCCCCTCCTCTTCCTTGTCATCCTCCTCCCCCACCCTTTTTAGCATGTATTCATTATTCGTATGCCTTTATCCGTGCCCCCCCGTGGCCCAGGCTCGAGTACACTCAGGAGCTCGACGGCCAGCAGAATCCGACTACGATCATAGAGAATGAGGCCCTCCTGAAGGGCACGCGGCAGATCTGTCCTTCTGGCGGCGTGCCCCAGAAGGTGGCGGAGGCATCGGCCACCAGAAATATGAGAGGAGGATGGGAGGAGGAGGACGAAGAAAAAGAAGAAAAAGAAAACGATAATGAAGAGAAGGGAGGAGGAAGGAGGAGGAAGAAGGAGGGGTACCGGATGATGAGGAGGAGGGGGGGATGAGGATGAGGGGGAACGGAGCAGGGAGGTGTAGGAGCTGGAGGAGCAGGGGGAGGAGAGGATGAGGAAAGGGGGAAGGGTAGGGAGTAAAACAATGCGGAATCGAAGACGATGGAAAGAATACGGAGGAGGTGGCGTGAAGGGGTTGTCGGGCTCACCGAGGCTAACCGTACCTCGCCGCAAGCGGTGAGATGCGGCGAGCCTCGGTGAGCGCACTATCACATCGAGACCTCGAAACCAATATGATAGCATCGCTCCCAGGCGGCGCTCATCAAAATAGCAGAGGCTAACTCCGAGACGTGGAAGCTCCAGAAGGAGTCTGAATTGTGGTCTGCAACGACAGCCAGAATGATACGGGCAATGCTACGACATGTTGCCAAAGCAATATCGAGAACTACGGTGCCGCACTGGGCCAAGGTCTTCGTCGATTCAGACCTTGCCAAGACCAGCGACGATGTCGACGCTGGCACGGGGGCTGACAGCGGCAAGACGAAGCAGATGAAGAAGGATATAGGGCAACAGTGGGGATAAGAAGGCCAGGAAGAGCAGGCAGGAGGAGGACAAGGACGCGGGTACCAGCGGCAGTGCCAGCAATATGAGGATGATGAGGATGTGCGAGAGGATAAGGATAATATACAAGGAAGAGGATGATGAGGAGACGGAGGACTAGGACGACTAGGATGACTAGGAGGACTGGGATGAGGATGAAGAGGATAGGAGGATCGATGAGGAGGAGGAGGAGGACCTTGGCCTCACGGCAGACCAGCCAGGACCTTGGCCTCACGGCTTTGGCAGAGGAACGGGGCTATCGCCTCGGCTATGAGAAGGAGCTCCAGGACCGACGGTCGACAAACAAACAGCAGACACTAACGCTGAGGGGTGTCATCAGGAACTACGCGCATACAGCACGATGGTCATCGTATAACTACGCGCAGACAACACGATCCGTCAATAACAATGTATCCTAAGTTTGCCGCTGCCCATCGTGCTGTCTGCGCGTAGTTCCTGATGACGCCCCTCAGCTGAACCTCTCCAGGTTCACCTGAGCAGGAGGAGGAGGAGGAGAAGGAGGAGGAGGAATAAGGGAGAGCTTGGGTGGAGAGAAGGCGGGAGGAGCAGACAGAGATCATGGAGGGAGAAGTGGAGGGAGGACTTGCGGGTGGGTCCTTCGCAGTCGGCGTGGCGCATCCCTCTGGGCACCGACCAGCACCCCGAGTATGCGGTCGCCAAGGCCGAGGATGGGGAATCCTTGCTCGTGGCAGTCTGGCAGGACGATTTCAAATGGAAGGTGAGCGGGCCCAGAAACCCAGACAACACTCATCTATCCCCTCAATCCTCTTTCCCTTGACTGCCACCATAATGTGATTATCCTCCCTCACCTGCACCTTGCCTCCCCTTGACCTCCCGTTCTTCACTCGCAGCCCTGCTCCATATCACCCTCCTCCTGCTGCTTTACCTCCAGCCTCCTCCTCCACCCTCCTCCTCCTCATCCTCCTCCGCCTCCTCATCCTTCTCATCCTTCTCCCCGCCCTCCCCCTCGATCAACGCATCTCACTCTTCTCCCTCCTCCTTACCCTCCTCATCCACCTGTTTGCAGTGTAAACGCGTTCCTGTCTGAGAGGTGCCTGGTACCACCGCAGACGATCATGATGTGCCTGGCAACTCGATCATGAGAAACGACAATATCTTCTTCAGGGTGGCCCACACCACGAAGAAGACAGATATCCTCGGCCGCTACGTCAAGAAGGGCGGGAAGCAGTGGATGCAGATCTGGCACGAGGGTGCACAGGTGATCCAGTTGGTAGGCTACCACAACGATCAGAAGGC